GTAGCATACTCAAATGAAGGGTCAGTCACAACTGTGGCAAGGAGACGAGTGACAGTCAGACTGGTAGTATGGACAAGGTCAGACTCAGGGTCAGGAACGTGAGGAAGAATTTTAAAATGTCCTTGATCCGTTAAATCCACTTCATTTGTTAATTAAATCCAAAGGAGTAGCAACATTATTTAGCAAGGAATGTGATGAGCAAAAGTACCGGCGCAATGAACGAAGCGGTTTGTAGTTGAATGCTTTTAGCGGGTCAGATATCATATTGTGCTTTCTTTCACAGCAGGTTGATTACTTATAGAATCTGCGCTCCCATCTCATAGTCCAAGTCTCCTGAACCGTTGCTCGCCAGATCGCCATGTGTGTGCAATAGTCATGTGCTCTACTACTAACGTTATTTCGTTTGCGAGCTCTCTGAGGGCTTTCTCATAATCGTTTATGTATCTTTGTTAATGATAATGCGACAAATATTCGTTTAGGTTCATAGCTCGGAATTCCCAAGAGCCATGGGGAGTCAGCAGGATCTGCCGTCGTCGCCGCGCGATGAAAGGAAGCTGCACGTTGTTTTTTGCCATCCGGATTTGGGGATAGGTGAGTCGCGTCGCGGGTTCTCGACCGCCGAACGTATCAATGGTTACGAAGAAAAAATCCATGATGGGAAGAGGTGAAGTCAATGTTCTGATTGCATACTCTTCTGATTGTAGCCTTGAAGAAGATTCGGGTTCCGCAGCCGTTGCCGAACGGATATGACGAAGCAGTGCTAGTTAGAATCCCAACGTGTCGCTGCAACGTCGCAAGACTCGTATTCAATTTCCTGTATTTCCTCGTTCTGTGAGCCATTATGCACTTCTAGGACTCCCATGTTATTCCCGCTCTTTCCGTCCGTCGTCCTCCCCTTTGCCGTGGTTTCATCTTTCCGGCTATTTCCTACTGCTTCTCTTTTCGCCCTGATCATCATTCCATCCATGCATCCATGCATGCATGCATGCGTGCAGGCGGGGCGGAGAGGCTGATAGTAAATGCAGCAGCGGAGCTGACGTCAAGAGGCCACTCCATCCGCGTACCCATGCATCCATCCCATCCATTCCACCCATCCCTTCGATCCCCTCCATTCCATGCATGCACACAGGAGGAGCGGAGAGGCTGATAGTGGATGCAGCAGCGGAGCTCGCGTCAAGAGGCCACAGCGTGCGGGTCTTCACCGCCCATCACGATCCAGCCAGATGCTTCCCGGAGACCATCGATGGTATTATATGCTGTTAGATGTCCTAAAATGATCGATTTTAAGTTGTGAGGTCACCCCTTCACAGCCCATCATGACCCCCACGGATGCTTCCTGGTGACTAATGACGGTACTATATGCTGTCTTAAAGCCCATCATGACCCATTGCTGGCGTCAAGAGGCCACATTGTGCGTGACTTCACATCCCGTCATGACCCCCACAGATGTTTCCCTGAGACCATTGATGGTACGATGATTCGCAGTGACTATTCATGGTACTATATGCTGCTGCATTCCTGGAAGGATGGATTTGTAGTTTCTCAGTAGAGACTGTTGTAACCTTGGTGCATTGACATTTGAAAGCATTGCAACAAAGTTGTAAAGCTGATCTTCCAAGCCGTTGTGACTCAATTTTCGCCCTTGGGGCTTTCAGTTACTAACGCATCACCATGTTTTTTATCCCCACCGCCTACACTCCCCTCTCCATCAGGCACCTTCCCTGTGCACGTGCATGGAAGCTTCCTCCCCCGCCACATTGCCGGCCGATTTCACGCAGTCTGCGCCTACCTCAGGTGCTGCCATCAGTTTTTTCTCAGCTAGGGTGTGTATTTGCTCGCAATGAGTGATGACGAAATGCAGTCTAACACGCAGTCTGCACCTACCTCAGGTGCCTCTGGGCGGCCCTCTGCATCGTCGTCTCGGTTTGGCTCCGGTGGATCCCAGCCGTTGATGGGATCATCACAGATCAAGTCTCAGCCGTCCATCCCATCCTCAGATTGCTGCCTGCCAAGGTGGGTTCATTACCCTCCCCTTCCCCTTCCCCTTTCCCTTTCCCCTTCCCTATTTCCTTTCCCATCTCCTCCCCCCTTCCACTTCTCCTTTTCCTTCCTTCTCCCCGTCCCCTTCCCTTCCCTCCGTTTCCTGTCTCACCTACGCTCTGCTCTCCTGTCTATCCGATGCTGAGCAGCCCAGCCCCGCGTGTCAACCCTATCCTCTCTCTCACCACGTGTCACATGCCTCTGCGCAACCAACTTCTAAGGCGCATCAAAGTAGAACTGAAAAAGATATATCTTGGCACTTGTTTCATGTTCCTGTGTAACGTTTCCTATCGCAGCACGTGCTTTCCCCATCCCTACCCCCCCATAACAGATCCTCTTCTACTGTCACTTCCTGGACCTGCTGCTGACCCAGCGAGACTATGCTTGTGTTATTTGGGAGAATTTATAAAAACTAACACAAGTGTCCCCCGTGCCTGACCCCCCATAACAGATCCTCTTCTACTGTCACTTCCCAGACCTGCTGCTGGCCCAGCGAGGCTCGTGGCTGCGCTCGCTGTACCGAGCTCCTATTGACTGGGTGGAGCAGGTCACCACTGGTGCGTGCATGCAGGATGGTGTTGACTTGACATGACATGACATGACATGACATGACGTGACTTGACTTGACATGACATGACATGACATGACATGACATGACATGACATGACATGACATGACATGACTTGACATGACATGACATGACATGACATGACTTGACTTGACATGACTTGACATGACATTTCATGTGTGTGCATGCTCATGTTCATCCCTGAACGTCCATGATGCCATTGATCACCCAGTGTGCGCTCGCTCTACCGAGCTCCCATTGACTGGGTGGAACAGGTCACCACTGGTGCGTGCTGTTGGCATGTGTACTGGCATGTGTGTATGCTGGCAAGTGCATGATAGTGTGGATCACGCACTCTGCGCTCGCTCTACCGAGCTCACTGGGTGGAACAAGTCACCTTCTGTCCATCTTCTCACCACCTCCTCCTCTCCATCTTTTTCCCATCGCCTCTCCATCCTTTCTGTATCCTCACAGGCATGGCGGACACCATAGTGGTCAACAGTCACTTCACTGCAGCCACATTCGCCTCCACCTTCCCCTCGCTAGCATCACACGGAATTCGCCCCGCTGTGCTCTACCCAGCTGTAGCACTTGATTCCCCACCAGCTTCTTCCTCTGCCACTGCCAGCACTGCTAGCAGGAATATGTGTGCTCCCCCAGGCCCTTCTGTTGACGAAGCAGAGAAACTTGGGATTGATATTAACAGGTGATTTTTGGAGGGCAATTGAGACGGATTGAGCTGAGAGGGCTGGATGGAATGGTGTGCACATTATCTCCCATGATGAATTTGCTTCCGTTATATATATATATATATATATATATATATATATATATATATCAATTTCTTCCCTTCCTTCCGGCCTCTCAAACCTTCAGACCTTCAGCACCACTGCCACCTCTGCTCTGTTATGACCTCTCCCATCACTGAGTTCCCCCCAACTCTCCCCCCCCCCCACCTTCCCACCCCCAGTCCCTACTTCCTGTCTATCAACCGCTACGAGCGCAAGAAATAGGTCCCTGCCTACAGCCCCTGACCTGGACTCACACGTCTTCGCCCTCTACCCCCCTCCCCCTCCCTCTCCTCCCCCTCCCCCAGCCCCTTCTTCCTGTCCATCAACCGGTACGAGCGCAAGAAAGAGATCGCCACTGCCATCTCTGCTCTGGGGCTGCTCACCCGCTCGTCAGTGCACACAGACGCTTCCGACAGCCAGGAAAAAGGCAGCCTGGATGGCGCAGCTGCTTCGGCAAAGAGCCAGCGGCCACGACTTGTCGTTGCAGGTGAGTTGGTGATGGTGCTGAGGAAGGCGAGGAGAAATGTGTCGTGTGCATCGAAGGTTGTGACGCATGAAGCCACCTCTTACAACAGAACTCAACTGTCCCACTGTCTCTCAACCAGACGTTTTCCACACCCTAAACCCTTGGCTTCCATTCCCTTGTTTCTTCGACTCACCACCTTATCACTTCTTCCCTTCCCTTCATCACCTATGAATCAGGTGGGTGTGACGCGCGCGTGCGGGAGAATGTGGAGTATCTGCAGGAGCTGAAACAACTAGCTGTTATGGAAGGGGTGGCATCCGACGTCCTTTTCCTCACCTCCATCAACGACTTGCTCAAGGCTCAGCTACTGGCCTGCTGCACTGCTGTAGTCTACACCCCTCCAGTTAGTATTCCTCATACGCCCAACACATGGAGATTCCGCACATCATCTTTCATATTTGTTTGCTTGTTTGGTTTGCCATAGACTGAGCCTGGTTGCCCTTTTGCTCTCTGCCTTATGTGTGTGCAGAACGAGCATTTTGGCATCGTGCCGTTGGAGGCAATGGCAGCAAGCAAGCCAGTAGTGGCATGCAACAGTGGGGGGCCCACAGAGAGCATACTTGATGGCGCTACAGGCTTCCTCTGCTCTCCAAATCCCACATCGTTTGCCGCTGCGCTGACTCTACTCTGGGCTGATCTTTCTCGGGCAGCTTCCATGGGTCAGGTTGCCCGAGCACATGTGGAGGAACGGTTTTCTAGGAAAGTTTTTGGCGACCGGTTGCAAGAGATTCTTTGGAACATGTGCTTGTAAGGACGTGTTCCTATGGCCCCTTATCAGGCAACCTCTTAGGTATCAGACTCACTCTGCATCACACTGAAATTCACGTAAACCCAAGACTCTTTGCGCATTCTATCAGGCATTCTGATAAGGAGTTGCCTGGTAGGGGGCTGTAGGATCGGAACACACCCTAACTTGTTACGGAAATGGCCTGATGGCATGGATGGCAAACAAGATGGCTTTGGGAACTCCTACCCAACACAATGCGGCTGATATGTTAAGGTCCAGTCATCCCCCCATGTTGTGCATTCCACAACCTCGTAACACCCATAACCATAAGATGGGAAAATACCTGCCTTAATTTCCCCCCTCCCACCCGTGCACAGCCTGGAACATACCCTGGGCCAGCGCATCCCTCTCCGCCACGGCAGCAGGGGACTCCTCATCGGCTCTCTTGGCGGGCACAAAGTCATCAAATGCTTCATACGCCCAGTCAGGGTCAAACGCCTCTCCCTTCTGCTCCAAAAAGTTGTGCAGCGCACAGCACGCCCCCACCAACCGCGGCAGCTCATGCAGCTTCCCCTCAGCCCGCCTCAGCAGGATCCGCCACCGTCCCTTCAGCCGGCCAATAGCGTCCTTCCCCACCGCAGTCCCCTTCTCTATGCACTCATTGAACGTCGTCTGGTACCACGTGGCGCTCTCTGATTGGGTGTAGGGAACCAGCAGCCAATCCAGAAGCGGGTACGACCGTAACCCGATCACCTTCGCTCCCTTGAGCTCTCCAGCTTGTCCTTTCTGGTGGAGGGTTGACTGTTGCAACACCTGCTCGTCAGAAAGCGCGCCGGGCAGCCCGATGCAAAGATCGATAAACTGCCCGTTAGCATCGACGACCGCTTGCGTGGAAAGGGAGTAAGATTCCCGAGCAAGACGCTCAGTGAGCTGCCTGTTGTGGTATTTTACCATGTTGGACCGCGGCGTGTTGATACACAGGTGTGTTGTGTAGAGAGTCCCAATCAGCTGCCCGTTCCCCAGCTGCTGTACCACAGAAGAAGCACCATCCACCCCGCACAGCTTCAGGAACTTGGAAGAAATTTCAGCTGCCCGGGTGCTGCCCGGCTCGGGCCATACGACCACCTTGGGCAGAATAACATCATTCAGCACCTTGAGAATATCATTCCCCACGAAATGCACCGTGGTCCGGCTGAGATTGAACCTCCGGGAAACCAGATGGAGAGGCTCGGCGGTGGCAAGCCTCCAGATTGCCGCTCCGATCCTGATGTCCAAGAGATTCGGGTTTTTTCTCGGCTTTTTCCCAAGAAGCGGCCCCAGCATCCCACAGAGCTCCATGAAGGTCTCCCGGCTCATCCTAAACTTTTTCCGGAACAATTCCGGAGGGTTATTCGGGTCAATACACTCCTCCCACCACGCGCGTGACCGCGGCCGCGTGATCAGCGTTCGATAAAACACCTGATGCTGCGAAAGCGTGGCGCCAGCAGACATGCCGGCCATGCAGACGCGTCTCAGCCGTTGGATCTCGCGCTGATGGACGGCGTCGTTGTGAGCGATGTCTCGGAGGAGGTTGAGCTCGATGGAGCGAACGAGGGAGTGGTGGCGGAGCAGGTACTCCGAGCGAACCACTCTTAGGCGCTGCAGGAAGCAGGAGGTTTCGTTGGCAGCGCGCTGCTCTTCCAGTAGGAGCAGGAGCACGAGGGAAATGGCATCCTCGTTAGGAGCGTTCTTGATGCAGGTTAAGAGATGTTGGAATTCGGATTCCGAGCAGAGGAGAGGCGAGGGAGTCGTGGGGATGGATGGGCGAAGCAGGGCGGCATTGTTTCTCCCATTCACTGCATCGCCTTCTATTCCCCCCTCTCCTTCACCTTCTCGCTCCTTAGTTTTCCCTCCCTTTTTCCTCTTTTCCAACCCTCCCTCCCTCCCTTCCTCCTCCTCACCCTCCTCGTCCTCCTCCTCCCTTTCATCGACCTCAACTCCCTCCTCTCCTTCCGTCAAGTGTAAGTCCACCAGCCGTCTCTTTCTGCTCTCTCTTCCACCAAACACCCCACCAGCCTCCCCATCTACTTCCAGCCCATCCCCTCTCTCCTTTCTCTGCCTCTCCCCATTCTCCTCCTCCGCTCCCTCCACCCCCACCCGAGCCACTTCAACAACGTCCAGATCAAAAGCGTCTGCTCCGTCCGCTGCCAAGCCTGCGACTGCCGAACCTACAAGCTCCAAGCCTGCTACTGCCGAGCTAAGACATCCCTCGCTGGCAAACCCTTGCAGCTCGTGCTGCTGCTCCTCTTCCTCATACTCTTCCTCCTCCTCTTCCTCCTCTTCCAACTCCACCACTTCCTCTTCGTGCTGCTGCTGCTGCTGCTGCTGCTCTTGCCGCTGGTTGTAGAGTGAACATTGCTGCACCTCCTGCTGCTGATGCTGTTCCTGTTCTCCCGGCTGTCGCTGCTGCTCCTGCACCTGCTGCTGGTTGTAGTATGAACGTTGCTGTGCCTCCTGTGGCTGCTCCTGTGGATGCTGCTGTGGCTGCTGCTCCTGTGGCTGCTGCTGCTGCTGCTGCTGCAGGAACTCGAGGAAAGACGGCTGATCAAGCTGCTCTTGCTGCTGCTGCTGTTCTTGCTGCTGTTCCATTTGCAACTGCTCTCGTGTCTGTTGCTGCTGCGGCTGCTGCTGTTCCAAAAAGTCAAGGAAATGCGGCTGATCTAGTTGTTGCTGCTGCTGCTGCTGCTGCTGCTGCTGCTGCTGCACCTCCTGCTGTTCCATCTGCAACTGCCCTTGAGCCTGTTGCTGCCGGTAGACCTGCTGCTGCTGGTACGGTTCTGGCCGCTCATACTGATCGTACCTTTGCTGTTGCTGCTGCTGCTGCTGCTGCTGCTGCTGTTGTTGTTGCTGCCGCTGCTGCTCCTGCTGCTGCCACTTTGATTGAATAATTTGCCGTTGTTGCACCATGTACTGAAGAAATTGCTCTGGACCCGACGCTACTGGCGCCTGCTGCTGCTGCGGCTGCTGCTGCTGCTGTTGTTGTTGTTGCTGCTGCTGCTGCTCCTGCTGCTGCCACTTTGATTGAATATTTTGCTGTTGTTGCACCATGTACTGAAGCAATTGCTCTGGATGCGCTACTGGCGCCTGCTGCTGCTGCTGCTGCTGCTGCTGCTGCTGCTGCTGCTGCTGCTGCTGCTGCTGCTGCTGCTGCTGCTGCTGCTGCTGCTGCTGCTGCTGCTGCTGCTGCTGCGGCTGTTGACGCTGTTGCTGCTGATGATGCTGCGAGTGTTGTTGCGGATGCTGCTGCTGAAATATGTGTTGCTGGAGCAACTGTTGCTGCTTCTGCTGCTGCTGCTGCTGCTGCTGCTGCTGTTCTTGCTGCCGCTGTTGCTGCTGCTGCTGATGCTGCTGGAATTGCTGCGGCTGAAGGCGAGACCGCTGCAAGGGTGCCTGGCGATCGAACTGCTCATACACGTCCTGCGACATTTGCTGCGACGCTTGCTGCCCCACTGCGGACAACAGCTGCGATTCAAGCAGCGCGAACTCAAGCGCAGCTGCCGGCGACGGCGCGGAAGGCGCGGAAGGCGCAGGAGGCGCGGAACGCGCGGAAGGCGCAGAATGCGCGTAAGGCGCGGAAGGCACCGGAACCTGCGCGTCATTGCTCATAAAGGGCTGCGCGGCAGTAGCAGAACGGTTCGCGGGGGGACCAGCGACTGCGCCGAAAGCGGAAGCATTTGGCGGGTTGAAGTGAGTGGGGAGGAAGTGGGAGATGGAAACAGCGGCGGAGGCGGAAGCGGGGGAAACGCCGGCAATGCCGCTGGCGGGAGCGGGCCAGGGAGCGGAGAAATCGTCGCTTGCTTCGAGAGGTTGTGGGTCGAATGGAAATGCACCTCCACGGTTGTTGCGATGATAACGACCAAAGGAGTTACCGTCCATCGTTAATGACTAACGAATATCCCTTTACAAAGAGCACTGACTGAAAAATTCCTTACAATGACAACCGACTAAGGTACCCTTACAGTGATCACTGACTAATTTCCCTTACAATGATCACTAGCTACGCTGGCGCGTCGCGTAGAAGTAGAAGCACTTGCAGCTCCTAGCAATGCCTAGAGAGTAGCGTCAGAAAAGCGTGCCTTATAAACGCGAAAGTTGGACAGTAGTTGGTTGTTTCAGACGCGACACGGCTGGGGAATAGGCTGCATCATCCAACCACGAAGCGTCAGACTGATGCTACGCTTCAGAAATCAGGGCCTGACTCGTCACAACAGTCGTGCGTTGGTTCGCATTTGAAAGTAAGTTCAAGTTTGAACTTTCAAAGCAAACACTGAATGGGAACGCATTAGGAACCGATACCGCCATGGCCTGAACGATGGCGAAAGCAAATGGAAACCCTAGGGGCGTGGTACATCTTGGCCTTTTTGTGGCCTAGGGACTGTCGTCCTGAAGCTGGCCCTTGCCTCAAATCTGGTTCGGACCAGCTGGTGTTCAAGCTCCACCTAACCTCCACACCCTACTGTTTGAGCCTAGGTTTGGGAAAGCCCGACAGGTTACGCTTTGGCGTTTCGGTATAGTGAATTCTCTACTAGACTGAATGGTGAGAATTGAGTGTGCCTGACATAAACCTGAAGGCGTGATCTGTTGGGGTTCCCAGTTTTCTCGGGATCCACAGACCGTGTTTGGTTGGATGCGAGAAGTGCCAGTTCGGCACAATCTAGGCTGACATTTCCAACCACTCGCAGAGCCAGTGAAGCTTAAAGCGACGGTGCACATTTGCCACCCAAAACCCAGAACCCTGGCGAACTGTTACTGCGGATGGAAAGTGTCCGCACGAAATCCTGGTTTTCGCCAGCCAGCACTTTCGCGCTGGCAAGCCTGGTTCAAAAAAAAAAACTTCTGAACCCAACACTGCCAAAAGTTGCCCGTCGCTTTAACCACTGAACGCACTCCTAGGCTTTTCATTTCCCAGCTCCTGCGTGAAGGCTATGGCGGTTTCATTACTTCTTGGGTTCACGGTTTGATTCGAGAGTTCAAACTTGAACTTTGCTCAAGTGCAAACGCCTGATTTGCTTGACGAGACACTCTTCGAAGCTTAGCATCAGCGTGACGCTTTTCCAGCCGATAAACTCTTCCCAGTCCTACAGTGTCCGAAACTTTATTCGAGCATTGCAAAAAGCGAGAACAGCTGCTACTCCTTGTAAACGGCAATTGTAAGGAGGAGAGTTGGTCATTGCAGGGTCAACATCATAGTCAGGGTAAAAAATGGACGGCAACCCTTTCCGCCGTCATCATGGCCACAGCCGGCGGGGTGCATTTCCCTTCGATCCACAACCTTTGGAAGTAAACGACGATTTCTCCGCTCCCTGGCCCCCCGCTCCCGTCAGCGCCATCGCCAACGTTTCCCCGGCTGCCGCCTCCGCGGCTGTTTCCATCTCCCACTTCCTCCCCACTCACTTCAACCCCCCGGATGCTTCCGCCTTCGGCGCAGCCGGTGGCTCCCCCGCGGACCGTTCCGCGGCAGCCGCGCAGCCCTTTCTGCGCAATGAGGCGCAGCTTTCCGCGCCTTCCGCGCCTCCTGCGCCTTCCGCGCCATCTCCCGCAGCTGCGCTTGAGTTCGCGTTGCTAGAATCGCAGCTGCTGTCCGCAGTGGCGCAGCAAGCGTCGCATCAGCCGTCGCAGGGCGTGTATGACGAAGAGCAGTTCAGTCGCCAGGCGCCCTTGCAACGGGCTAACCTTCAGCCGCAGCAATTCCAACAGCATCAGCAGTATTCTTATCAGCAGCAGGAACAGCAGCAGCAGACGCAGCCGCAGCCGCATCAGCGGGAGCAGCAGTTGCTGCAAAGCCAGTTTCGGCTGCACGAGCAGCAGCAGCGGCAGCAAATGCAGCCGCAGCAGCTGCAGCCGCAACAAATGTTTCAGCAACAGATTTTCCGGCAGCAGCAGCATCAGCCGCAACACTCGCAAGAGCATCATCAGCAGCAGCAGCAGCAACAACCGCAGCAGCAACATCAGCGACAGCCGCAGCAGCAGCAGCAGCAGCAGCAGCAGCAGGCACCAGTAGCGGATCCACAACAAATGCTTCAATATCTGATGCAACAGCAGCGAAACCTTCAGACAAACTGGCAGCAGCAGCAGCAAGGGTACAATCAGCAGGAGCGATCAGAACCATACCAGCAGCAACAGGAGGTTTACCGGCAGCAACAGGCACAGGAGCAGTTGCAGATGGAGCAGGAGCAGGTGCAGCAGCAGCAGCAGCAGCAGCAGCAGCAGTACCAGCAGCAGCAGGTGGTGGAGCAACAGCAGCAGCAACAGCAACAACAGCAGCAGCTTGATCAGCCGTATTTCCTCGAGTTCATGCAGCAGCAGGAGCCGCAGGATCAGCAGCAACAGCAGGGAGCGCAGGAACAGCATGAGCAGCAGGAGTTGCAGCAAAGTTCATACTACAACCAGCAGCAGGAGAATCAGTTGCAGCCGCAGCAGCAACAGCAGCAGCAGCGGCGGCGGCACGACGAGGAGGCGGAGGAGGAGGAAGAGGAGGAGGAAGAAGACGAGGAGGTGGAGGAGGAGGACGAGGCTGAAGAAGAGTATGAGGAAGAGGAGCAGCAGCACGAGCTGCAGGGGTTTTCCAGTGAGGGTGGTCTTCCCGCCGAGCCTCCTGCAGCTTCGGCAGAAGCAGGTTTGGGACTTGTAGGTTCGGAGGCAGCGGACCTGTCACTTGTGGGCTCGGCAGTAGCAGGTTTGGAACTTGTAGGTTCGGCAGTGGCAGGCTTGGCATCGGACGGAGCAGACGCATTCGATTTGGATGCGGTTGAGGTGGCTCGGTTGGGGGGAGATGAAGCCGAGGAGGAGGGTGGAGAGGGAGAAAGGGAAGGAGATGGGGAAACTGGAGGGGTGGTGGGTGGGAGAGAGAGCAGGAAGAGGCGGCTGGAGGACTTAGGCCAGACGGAAGGAGAGGAGGAAGGGGGAGTTGAAGGTGATGTAGAGGAGGGGGAGGAGGAAGAAGGGAGAGAGGGGAGATCGGGAAAGTTGAAGAAAGGAGGGGAACACAAGGAGGGAGAAGGGGATGGAGAGGAAGCAAAGGAAGGCGATGGAGTGAACAAGGGCATCGCCCTGCTTTACCCATCCATCCCCACGACTCCCTCACCTCTCCTCTGCTCCGAAGCTGAATTCCAAGAGCTCTTAACCTGCATCCAGAGCTCCTCTAACGAGGATGCCATTGCCATGGTGCTCCTGCTGCTGCTGGAAGAGCAACGCGCCACCAAAGAAACCTCTTTCTTCCTGAAGCGCCTGCGAGTTCGCTCGGAGTACCTGCTACGCCACCACTCCCTCGTGAGATCTATTGAGCTAAACCTCCATCGGGACATCGCAGACAACAACGCGATCCGCCAGCAGGAGATCCAACGGCTGAGACGCGTCTGCATGGCCGGCATGACAGCTGGCGCCACGCTCTCGCAGCACCAGATGGTTTACCGGCGGCTGTGGACGCGGCCGCGCTCCCGCGCGTGGTGGGAGGAGTGTATTGACCCGAATTACCCTCCGGAAACGTTCCGAAAGACGTTTAGGATGAGCCGGGAGACGTTCATGGAGCTCTGTGACATTCTGGGGCCGCTGATTGTGAAACGATCAACCAGAATCAGGGAGGCGATACCTGTAGACATCAGGATTGGAGCGTCGCTCTGGCGCCTGGCCACAGCCGAGCCTCTCCATTTGATCTCCAGGAGGTTCGGGCTCGGCCAGACCACCGTGCATTTCGTCTCGAATGACGTTCTTAAGGCGCTGAACGAAGTTGTTCTGCCCAAGGTGGTTGTCTGGCCTGAGCCGGGCAGCACCCGGGCAGCTGAAATTTCTTCCCAGTTTCTGGACCTGTGCGGGCTGGATCACGCTTCGTCTGTGGCGCAGCAGCTGGGAAACGGGAAGCTGATTGCAACTCTCTACACAACGCACCTGCCCATCAACACGCCACGGTCCAACCTTGCAAAATACCACAACAAGCAGCACACCGAGCGTTTCGCCCGCCCTTCTTACTCTATAGCCATGCAGACGGCCATCGATGCCAACGGGCAGTTTTTAGACCTTTGCATCGGGCTGCCTGGCGCGCTTTCTGACGAGGAGGTTTTGCAGCAGTCGACCCTCCACCAGAAAGGACAAGCCGGGGAGCTCCAGGGAGTTAAGGTCATTGGGTTACGGTCGTACCCGCTTCTGGATTGGCTGCTGGTTCCGTACGCCCAATCAGACAGCGCCACGTGGTACCAGACGACCTTCAATGAGTGCATAGAGAAGGGGACTGCGGTGGGGAAGGACGCTATTGGCCGGCTGAAGGGACGGTGGCGGATTCTTCTGAGGCGGGCTGAGGGGAAGCTGCATGAGCTGCCGCGGTTGGTGGGGGCATGCTGTGCGCTGCACAACTTTCTGGAGCAGAAGGGAGAGGCGTTTGACCCTGACTGGGCGTATGAAGCGTTTGATGACTTTGTGCCCGCCAAGAGAGCCGATGAGGAGTCCCCTGCTGCCGTGGCGGAGAGGGATGCGCTGGCCCAGGGTATGTTCCAGGCCGTGCACGGGTGGGAGGGGGACGCTGCCAATGCGCTGTGAGGTTGAGCTCGGAAAAATGGAGGCTCATATGGAGCGAGGATAGTTTGGTGGGGTGGGGAGAGAAGTGGGGAAGAGATGGGGCTGGGCTGGGGGGAGGGGGAGGTGGGGGAGAAATGTTTTGATGGGTTGGATGGGGAGGATCATGTGCCGCAGCAAGTCAACGTTTCACAGTAGCTGATAAGTAGGAGATCTGAGCTGTCAAATGTTGTAGTCTTAGTGATGTGTGTTATAGGGGGTAGAACTGTTAGGGTTACGTTTATGTACCCCAACCAACCTTAGTGAAACCAACACTTTCATTCTTGACATAGTATCACCTAGGTTAGGATCCTGTAGGATCCCGTTCCTCTCGTTCATGTCCGTAGCGCCCGAGCCTGTCCCGTACCCTAGTGCCTGTTACGCCCGTACTGTCCCCTAGCGCCTCTCGTGCTCGTCTCTCTCGTGCCCTAGCGCCCGCTGCGCCTGCGTCGCATCGCCCCTGCTGTCCCGTCCCGTCGCCCCTACCGTCGCGTCGCCCCTGCTGTCCCGTCCCATCCCGTCGCCCCTGCTGTCCCGTCGCGTCGCCCCCTGCTGTCCTGTCCCGTCCCGTTGTCCCTGCTGTCCCGTCCCGTCCCGTCGTCCCTGCTGTCCCATCGCGTCGCCCCCCTTCTGTCCCGCCGCGTCGCGCCGTCCGTCCCGTCCCGTCCCGTCCCGTCCGTGTCGCGCTTCCCGTCCCGTCCCGTCGCACGCGCCCCGTGCGCCCTGCCCGTCCGTCGCGCCCCCGCTGCGCCCAGCCCGTCCGTCGCGCCCCGTGCGCCCTGCCCGTACCGTCGCGCCCCGTGCGCTCTGCCCGTCCGTCGCGCCCCCGTTGCGCCCTGCCCGTCCGTCGCGCCCCGTGCGCCCTGCCCTGCCCCGCCCGTCCCTGCCAGTTGCGTCCGTCCCGTCGTGTCGCACTGTCTGTCACGCCCTACGCAAACCCTTTAGGCGTTTAGGGTTTCGGCAGCAGCAGTATCCACCTCTACGCTTCCGCTATGGCGACCCCTAGGGTCCTGCGCTTTGACGCTGAGGGTAGGCCGCTCGAGTTCTCGGCCTGGCTCATGCGTGCGTGCCGCCTCCTAGAGAGCCAGGTTCAGGCACACGAGACTCTGTGGGCGCACGCTTCCGGTGACCTACCTGAGCCAGCTGACCCTGCACCCTTAGCAGCTGACCCCACACCTACAGACAGTGACCGTTATGCACGCGAGCGTGCTGACGTGACAGCGTGGAAGTCGCGTGATGCTGCGGCATGCATCGCCCTCAGCAGCCTCCTCCCTGAGTCTGAGGAGACCCACTTCACTCAGGTTCGCACGGCTAGTGAGTTCCTGACTGCGATCAAGGCCCGCTACGCTACTCCCACCACTGTCTCTCTTGGTCGCCTGTTCCTTCCGTTCCTGTTTCCTAACCTCGCCTCGTTTGAGCGCACTGCTGACTTGATCACTCATCTGCGCTCGCTCGATTCTAGCTACCACGCTGCTTGCACTGACGCACAGCTTGCACTGCTCCCTCCCACCATGGCGATTACTATCTATTTCATCGCCACTAGCCTCCCTGACCGCCTTGCTTCGATTCGTGACGCACTTCTTCTGAAGCACCCTAGCGAGCTCACTATCGAGGTCCTTGAGTCGACCCTCAAGGACGCCGAGAGCAACCTCCGTTCGGTAGCCTCTGCCTCTGGTGTTGTGCCCCTCCACTGTTCCACGGGTGCACTGTCCCTCAGCTGCCCACCTTTACTGCCTCCCTCGCCACTGCCATTACTGACGTGACCGCAACTGCTGTTACGACTTCTTCGCGGTCTCGGGGTAGGAGTGGCAGGCGGTCAGGGTGCAGGCGGAGGCGGCGAAGGCGGTGGGGGTGACATGGCGAGCGGCGGCGGCGGGAGTGCAGGCACTGGAGGAGTGCCTCGTGCAGCGGCCGGTGACTCCCCTGCTACAGCTGGTGGAGGTGACGCCCGGGTTTGTCAGCCACCTACTGGTCTGCCAGCCGCAGGGGGTGGAGCAGCGGCGTGGTACCTGACTCGACGACAGCAGCAGCAGCAGCAGCAGCCCCTCCCCTCGCAGCAGCCACAGCAGCAGCAGCGGCAGCAACAGGTTTCGAGGCAGGGGTCAAGACAGCGTCAGCTGCAGCGCGGTGCCGTCCACCCTCCCTGCACCAATCACGTTCTGACAGGTGCCCGCCGCAGCCAGCCTTGTGGCCGCAGCCACCCACCGGGTCAGTGCTTTGCTCAGCTTACTGACACGGTTCGATTGGCCTACGGCGTTGACGACCCTGCCCCTGACTAGCTTCCCCTTGTTCAGACGTACGGCCCCGCTCTGTAGGGCATGTCGGCTTCTCAGTTGGTTGATCTCTTAGGAACTCCTCATGCTATGTATGCTGTTGTTGACTCTAGTGCTTCTGACTCTGTTTACTCAAGCGTTGTTAGCTTAGGTGCTAGTCTTACTGAGGTGCCTGTTGCTAGTGTAGGTACTTGTATAGACACTAGTCCAGGAGCTGCTCCGAAGGACGCTTCGCTGTCTTTCACTCTGGACTCCGGAGCTTCCCACTGTTTCTTCCACGACCGCACGACACTTACCCCGCTTCCTACGCCGGCCTCTGTAGCACTGGCTGATCCCACTTCGGGACCAGTCGCTGCTCGATACACTACTACGCTTCCGTGCCCGGCTGTTCCCTCCGGTTCTCTGACCGGCTTCCACGTCCCCTCGTTCTCGAGGAACTTGGTGGGCGTGAGGCCGCTCGTGAATCAGCACGTGGGTGTGTGGATTGAGCCTTCTGGCGAGACTGCGGTTTGTGTCGACGGGGACACGTACGCGCCTCTCGCCACCTTTACCGCTGAGCCGGGCTCTGGTCTCTACACACTTCACACTGGCCCCCGAGGGAAGCAGCAGCAGCAGCGGCAGCAGCAGCAGTAGCAGCTACTGCCCCCGACCCCTGTCACTGTCCCCTGTCAGGTTCCCGCGTCTCACCAGGTTGCTGCGTCTCCCCAGGTAGATGTGTCTGGTCAGGTTCCAGTGTTTGGTCCAGTTGCTGCGTCGTGCTCCTGCCGGTTGCTTGCCTACCCCACTGTTTTGTGGCACCACCGGATGGGGCACCCGTCCATTTCTCGCCTGCGCGCTATGTCTAGTCAGCGTCTTGTCTTAGGCCTCCCGCGTGTCTTGCCGTCGTTGCCGCCTTCGCTTGCGCCACCCTGCGGTCCCTGCGTCGAGGGTTGGCTGCGCGCCACCCCTCACTCCTCCCTTCGTCCGGCCACCGAGCCCTTCGAGACTCTCCACTTGGAAGTCAGGGGCCCCTACTCGCGCCCTGGCCCTGAGCGAGAGAGTTTCTTTCTCGTGGTCATTGACGACTACTCCCGCTACACCACAGTGTTCCCCCTGGCAAAGAAGTCCGACGTGACTTCTACGCTGATCCGGTGGTTGCTTACCACTACGGACACTCGTGGGCGCCCGGCCCGTACCTCGCCCACGCTTGGCCCCGTATCTAGCCAGCGATTGGCCCGTACCTAGCCTCGCGCTAGGCCCCGTTCCTAGCCCCGCGCCCGGCCCGTACCTAGCCTCGCGACCGGCCCGTACCCTGCCCGCAGCTCGGCCCCGTTCCTAGCCCCGCGCCCGGCCCGTACCTAGCCTCGCGACCGGCCCGTACCCAGCCCCGCGCCCGGCCCCGTACCTAGCCCGCGCCCGCCCCGTCTGTCGCCAGCGCCTGGCCCCGTACCTAGCCTCGCGACCGGCCCGTACCCTGCCCGCGCTCGGCCCCGTTCCTAGCCCCGCGCCCGGCCCGTACCTAGCCTCGCGACCGGCCCGTACCCAGCCCCGCGCCCGGCCCCGTACCTAGCCTGCGCCCGGCCCCGTCTGTCGCCAGCGCCTGGCCCCGTACCTAGCCCGCGCCTTGCCCGTGTAACGCCCGCGCCAGGCCCCGTACTTAGCCCGCGCCCCGGCCCCGTACCTGCCCAGCGACCGGCCCCGTACCTGCCCAGCGCCCGGCCCCCGTTCCTGCCCAGTGCCCGGCCCCGTACCTGCCCAGCGCCCGGCCCCGTACCTGCCCAGCGCCCGGCCCCGTACCTGCCCAACGCCCGGCCCCGTACCTGCCCAGAGCCCGGCCCCGTACCTGCCCGGCGCCCGGCCCCCGTTCCTTGCCCAGTGCCCGGCCCCGTACCTGCCCAGCGCCCGGCCCCGTACCTGCCCAGCGCCCGGCCCCGTACCTGCCCAACGCCCGGCCCCGTACCTGCCCAGAGCCCGGCCCCGTACCTGCCCGGCGCCAGAAACCTGCAGGAGGGGATCTGCAGCACCAGGTCCCCCACCTTTCTCCTACCTCCCCCTGCTGCGGGAGCAGCAGAGGGGGGAGGGGACCTGCAGCACCTGCCCCCCCCCCCCCCCCCCCCCCCCCCGCCTGTTACGATAAGAATGAATTGATAGAAAATGTGAACTACAACCCTAGATATAGCAAACCCTAATCATGCAAGTAAGTAGAAACGTAACACCTAGACTAACCTAAACAACACATATAAAATATATGTTGACACACCCCCATAGTCTAGGTGACGGAAGTCCTGTAGAAACAACAAGAGCAAGCAACGGTCACAAGACCAGTCTACAAGAACAAGACAAATCTCAGGGTGGAGCTCAAAGTCACCACACACTCCGAGAGCAAGCAAGGGGCCACAAGGCCAGTCCACATGCAGGTATATAGCAAATATAAAGAGATGCAAGAGTACAAGACATGCAGAACAAGGCATCTCTAAGCAAGCAAGTGAGGACGGGCAGGCACAAGGCCAAGCTGGGTGCAGAAACGCTGGTGCTCACAAGGCGGCAACGCCTTGGTGAAGATATCTGCCGTGTTTGCCTCAGAGACCACACGTCGAACGAGTGCCTGTCCACGCTGCTGCAACTCACGCAGAAGGAAGTAACGAAGCTGGATGTGCTTCGCCTTCCCAACCAGTCGGGGCTCCTCACACAACAGGACAGCAGACCTGTTGTCGGCGAACAAGACTGGGGGAGAGCGAGGCCGCTCACCAAGGTCGGTGAGAAGGAAAGACAGCCAGCGAAGCTCCTGAGCGGCCATGGCCGCAGCGTACACCTCTGCCTCACAGCTGGAACCGGCGACAGACGACGCCCGAGTCGACCGCCACGAAACAGCACCTGCCCCGAGGCTAAAGGAGTACCCCTGTGTAGACCGACGCGTCTCCGCGTCGTCGGCCCACGACGAGTCCGAGTAACCTGTGAGTGTAACTGGCTGCTTCCCTCCAAGGACAAGTCCCATGCCTGATGTACTCGCCACATACTTCGCCACCCTCTTAGCAGCGTACCAGTGGGAAGGTCGGTGTCTCCCAGGCGCAACAAAGCGCGCAAGGACGCTAAGAGGGTAAGCTAGGTCTGGGCGAGTACAGGTCATCAGGTACATGAGACAACCCACCAGCTCAGGATATGGACCACTGGACTCAAATGACTCGTCCGAAGGTGGAGCCGTGAGCCCATGATCCACACCAAGAGGGGTGAGCTGTACCTTGGAGAACGGGAAGCGAAACCGCGTGAGGATCTGCTCGACCATATGCGACTGAGTCAGCGTAATGGTGCGAGCTGCCCTGTCCCTGGTGATCTGCAGGCCAAGGTAGTGCTGCAGCTCACCAAGGTCAGTGCAAGTGTGTCTCCTCTGCAGTTCCTCCTTCACGGAGGCCAGCGCGCGTCGGTCGGGAGTGGCGAACACTAGGTCGTCGACGTAGACCAGGACAAAGAACGGGGTCGAGCCACGGCGAACGAACAGTGACGGGTCAGCAGACGACGGAAAGAAGTCAAGAGCTGCAAGGGTCGAGCGAAGTGTGTCGTGCCACTCACGTGGGGCCTGACGCAGGCCGTAGACTGGTCGACGCAGCTGCCACTGGGTCCCAGGTGGGAAAGAGCCAGTGAAGCCAGGCGGGCGACGCAGCCAGATCTGCTCGTGCAGGCTCCCCTGAAGGAACGCGGTGGAAAAGTCCAAGGAGTGCAACTCGTAGTCGCGCTGGGCTGCAATATGCAGCAACACCCGAAGAGTACTCATCTTCGGGGTGGGAGCGAAGGTCTGGAAGAAGTCCACCCCCTCTCGCTGACTGAAGCCTCTCGCAACATAGCGTGCCTTGAACACAGGTGGTGATCCAGGCGGCCGCTTCACCTTGTAGAGCCATCGGCCACTGACGACATTCGTCCCAAGTGGTGGGACTGCGTCGACGTAAGTGCCTGTGGACCTATAAGATGCCATCTCTGCCTCCTCAGCTGCTATCCAGTACGAAGCCCAGGGTCCCGAGACCGCCTCGGCGTGAGTGCGAGGGATCGGGATGTCAAGGGCGTCTGGATCCCCCTCAGGGGCAAGCAGCATGGCGCAGAGATGAGGAACAGCGGCCGCAAGAAAACCAAGCTCGAACTGCCTGTCCTCTACGACCTCCAGGGGAAAGACAGGAGCACCCCCAGAGGACGGAGAACGTGCAGGGCCACTCACCAAGTGAGCGGCGTAGTCAAGGCGGTGGGAAGAGGCAAAGCCAGAGACAGTGGTAACAAGTGCTGAGACAGACGACAGAGGTGCAGTCGGGTGAGTGACCAACGCGGACAAAACACGGGAGACGACAGGACGGGAGGCACGGAGGTAGTCGGACAACGGGTCGTGAAGCACAGTGAGGGACGACTCAGGGGGCTGTGGAAGGACAGGAGGAGGTGGAACACGAGAGCGGAGAACAAGGTGAAACGGACCGTCTGCACGGTAACGGGACCGACGGGGCTGTGGAGACACAGCACGACTGAGGGGAGGACGACGAGTCCACTGGGAGGAGGAAAGGGACTCAACTGGTGGAACAGGAGGGGACGACAGGGGACCACGAACAAAGCGTGCAGGTGCTGGGTCGGGGAGGTCGCGTAGTCGCATTCGCTGCTGCTCCGCCTCCTCTGGCGTCTGCTGCGACGGTACCGGCCCCTGCTGCTGCTCCTGTGGCTCCGCCTCTGCCCTCTCCTGCTGCGGCTGCAGCTGTACCCGCTGCTGCGACCGGGACTCCTGCGCTACCCTCTCCTGCTGCTGCCGTGACTCCTCCTCTACTCTCTCCTGCTGCGTCTGGAACTGCACCTGCTGCTGCGGGTGGGACTCCTGCTCTACCCTCTCCTGGTGCGGCCGTGACTGCTCCTCTACTCTCTCCTGCTGTGTCTGTAACTGCACCTGCTGCTGCGGGCGGGACTCCTGCTCTACCCTCTCCTGGTGCGGCCGTGACTCCTCCTCTACCCTCTCCTGCTGCGGCTGCAGCTGCACCCGCTGCTGCGACCGGGACTCCTGCGCTACCCTCTCGTGCTGCTGCTGTGACTCCTCCTCTACTCTCTCCTGCTGCTGCTGCTGCTGCTGCTGCTGCTGCTGCTGCTGCTGCTGCTGTGCCCTCTCAAATCGCTCACGCTCCTCCCTCTCCAACCGGAGGAGACGCTGCTCACGGGTCAGGAAACGTACGAGTGACGCACGGCAAAAACGGGTGGGGCGCAGGGCAGAAACGGGTGACGCGCGATGTCGACGGGGGGGCGCGACCTACTCGGGCTCTACGGGGCAGGGCGCTTCGGGCTATGGGTCGCTACGAGGCGCGCGGGTGGTGGGCCCATAGACTATCGAGAGAAATTTCGCCTAAGGGAAAAAATCGCCTAGGGGAAAAATCGCCTAAGGGAAACCTAGCTCTATACCATGTTACGATAAGAATGAATTGATAGAAAATGTGAAGTACAACCCTAGATATAGCAAACCCTAATCATGCAAGTAAGTAGAAACGTAACACCTAGACTAACCTAAACAACACATATAAAATATATGTTGACACCGCCCCCCCCCCTTCTCCTCCATCTCTCTGCTGCGGGTGCAGCAGTGGGGGGGAGGGTATGGGGGTGGCGGGTGTGGCCAACCTGCGGGAGGCAGGAGGGGATCTGCAGCACCAGCCCCCCCCGCCCCCCCCTGCCCTGCTGCTGCCGCTACAGCCCTTGCTGTTGCCACTACAGCCCTTGCTGCTACCCTGCTGCCCTGTGCGCCCCGCGCGCTTTGCAGCCCTGCGCGCCCTGCTGTCCTGCTGCCCTGCGCGCCCTGCGCGCCCCGCGCGCCCTGCTGCCCTGCAGCCCTGTGCGCCCTGCTGCCCTGCAGCCCTGTGCGCCCTGCTGCCCTGTTTGCCCCGCGCGCCTTGCTGCCCTGTTTGCCCCGCGCGCCCTGCTGCCCTGCAGCCCTGTGCGCCCTGCTGCCCTGCTGCCCTGTGCGCCCCGTGCGCCCTGCAGCCCTGTGCGCCCCGTGCGCCCTGCAGCCCTGCGCGCCCCGCGCGCCCTGCTGCCCTGCAGCCCTGTGCGCCCTGCTGCCCTGCAGCCCAGTGCGCCCTGCTGCCCTGCTGTTGCCGCTACAGCCCTTGCTGTTGCCGCTACAGCCCTTGCTGCTGCCCTGCGCGCCCCGCGCGCCCTGCAGCCCTGCTGTGCCCCGTGCGCCCTGCAGCCCTGCGCGCCCTGCTGTCCTGCTGCCCTGCGCGCCCTGCGGGCACTGCAGCCCTGCACGCCCCGCGCGCCCTGCTGCCCTGCTGCCCTGCAGCCCTGTGCGCCCTGCTGCCATGCAGCCCTGTGCGCCCTGCTGCTGCTGCCGCTACAGCCCTTGCTGTTGCCGCTACAGCCCTTGCTGCTGCCCTGCGCGCCCCGCGCGCCCTGCAGCCCTGCTGCGCCCCGCGCGCCCTGCTGCCCTGCTGCTGCCGCTACAGCCCTTGCTGTTGCCGCTACAGCCCTTGCTGCTGCCCTGCGCGCCCTGCAGCCCTGCTGGGCCCGCGCGCCCTGCTGTCCTGCTGCCCTGCGCGCCCTGCGCGCACTGCAGCCTTGCGCGCCCCGCGCGCCCTGCTGCCCTGCTGCCTGTGCGCCCCATGCGCCCGGCTGCCCTCTGCACGCACCATGCACTGCCTCCCCCGCCCCCCCCTTTTCTCCTCCATCCCCTGCTGCAAGTGCAGCAGTGGGGGGGAGAGTATGGGGGTGGCGGGTGTGTGAACCGTCCCCTGCTCCTCCTCCTCCGTCTCCCACTGCTGCAGCTGCCGCTGAGGGGGGTGGGTGTGTGGGAGCCGAGGGAGTGGTGCTAGGGGGGTGAAGTGGGAGTGGAGCTAGGGGTGCAGCAAGGGGTGTGTGAAAGGGGGGTGGGACAGTTGGGGGAGGTTGAGCGGAGGCTCAGAGTCCAGCCTCCTCCTCCTCACTTGCCCTTTGTGAATGCCTCTAGCTTTGCTTGTACTTGTGAACCTGCTCTATGACTGCTTGCTCTGCTGATTATACCCCACTTTGACTATGGGGGTGTGTCAGAATGTATTTGTTATCTAGCCTGCAGTGGGGTACTCTGTAGTGAGTACAACCCAATTAAGGGTCTTGTATTTGCATCCCAACTCTTGCTAGTGAATCCACTTTCCAATTCTCTCGACACTAAACTCTCTCGATACTCTAACCTAGCCATGGCTCCTAAGTCACGCTAGTATTCTCACAAGCAGCAGCACAGGCAGCAGTAGCAGCTCAGGCGCCAGCAGCAGCCTAGCAACAGCAGCAGCCTAGCAACAGCAGCAGCACAGGTGGTAGCAGCAGCTGAGCAGCAGCAGCAGCGTAGCAGTAGCAGCACAGGTGGCGGCAGCAGCGCAGGCGGCAGCAGCAGCTCAGGCGGCAGCAGTAGCCTAGCAGCAGCAGCAGCCTAGCAGCAGCAGCAGCAGCGCAGACAGGAGCAGCAGCTTAGCAGCAGCACCAGCACAGGTGGCAACAGCAGCGCAGGCGGCAGCAGCAGCTCAGGCGGCAGCAGCAGCTCAGGCGGCAGCAGCAGCCTAGCAGTAGCAGCAGCCTAGCAGCAGCAGCAGCAGCTTAGCAGCAGCACCAGCACAGGTGGCAGCAGCAGCGCAGGCGGCAGCAGCAGCTCAGGCGGCAGCAGCAGCAGCTGAGCAGTAGCACCAGCGCAAGCGGCAGCAGCAGCAGCAGCAGCGCAGCAGCAGTAGCACAGGTGGCAGCAGCAGCTGAGCAGCAGCAGCAGCGTAGCAGTAGCAGCACAGGTGGCGGCAGCAGCGCAGGCGGCAGCAGCAGCTCAGGCGGCAGTAGTAGCCTAGCAGCAGCAGCAGCCTAGCAGCAGCAGCAGCAGCGCAGACGGGAGCAGCAGCTTAGCAGCAGCACCAGCACAGGTGGCAACAGCAGCGCAGGCGGCAGCAGCAGCTCAGGCGGCAGCAGCAGCTCAGGCGGCAGCAGCAGCCTAGCAGTAGCAGCAGCCTAGCAGCAGCAGCAGCGCAGACGGGAGCAGCAGCTTAGCAGCAGCACCAGCACAGGTGGCAGCAGCAGCGCAGGCGGCAGCAGCAGCTCAGGCGGCAGCAGCAGCAGCTGAGCAGTAGCACCAGCGCAAGCGGCAGCAGCAGCAGCAGCAGCAGCGCAGCAGCAGTAGCACAGGTGGCAGCAGCAGCAGCGCAGCAGTAGCAGCAGAGGTGGCAGCAGCAGCGCAGGCGGAAGCAGCAGCGCAGGTGGCAGCAGCAGCTCAGGTGGCAGCAGCAGCCTAGCAGCAGCAGCAGCGCAGTAGTAGCAGCACAGGTGGCAGCAGCAACGCAGGCGGCAGCAGCAGCGCAGGCGGCAGCAGTAGCTTAGCAGCAGTTGCAGCGCAGGCAAGGCGCGCGCAGGCGGCGCAAGGCAGCGCGTAGGGCAGGGCAGGACTAGCGCGGGTGCGCGACACTGGCAGAGCGCAGGGCAGGCGCTCGCGGGCGGCGCAGGACAGCGCGTAGGGCAGGGCAGGATAGCCGCGCGCGGGGCGGGGCAGGGCAGCACGTGGGTAGCGTTTGCAGGGCAGGCGTGCGCTGGAAGGGCAGGAAAATCGACGCGCCTACGGGCACGATACGGGCAGAAATTCGTCGTGCCTAAGGTCGCGATTCGGGCAGGAAAACCGTCGCTTCTAGGGGCGCGATTTGGGCAGGAAAACCGACGTGCCTAGGGGCGCGATTCGGGCAAAAAAATCGACGTGCCTAAGGTCGCGATTCAAGCAGGATATAAAAGTGACGCGCCTAGGGGCGCAATTTGGGCAGGAAATCGAAGACTTAACGGTGGACCCTTTTAAAAATCTGGTCATAAGGACCTAATGGCTCTTAATACCATGTAGCACCAGTACCAGTAGCACCAGTAGCAGTAGCACTTCTAGGACTAGTAGCTCCGGCACCTCCAGCACCAGCAGCACCTCTAGTACCTCCAGCACCAGCAGCACCTCCAGCACCTCCAGCAGTACCTCCAGTACCTCCAGCACCAGCAGTACCTCCAGGACTAGCAGCTCCAGCTCCAGCAGGACCATACCCTCCACCACCGGGACTGCCTCGCCGAACGATCCACGCACGAATCGCCTGCGGCGAGAGCGTCTCAAGTAGATCAGGCTGCGGTGGCTGTCCAGCTCCAGGACCTCCAGCAGGGTCACCCACAGCTCCACCGCCACTAGGACTCGCAGTACCCCCAGAGTCAGCACCCCCATTCGTACTACCCCAAGAACTAGCACCCCCAGTCACAGCACCCTCAGAACCAGCACCCCCAGTCGCAGCACCTCCAGAACCCGCACCCTCTGTCTCAGCACCCCCTGGCTCAGCACCAGCAGTCTTAGCTCCAGAGTCCACAGCAGCAGGCTGTGGAGGCGGTGAAGACGGCCAAGGCGGAAAACCAGGGGGGGTCTCCAAGCGTGGAGAGTGCCGAGTGGCCGCCGTGTCGGCGGCGGCGGGGTCACCCCCCTCAGCTGGGCCAGAGGAGTCAGAAGAGACCTCCAATGGCTCAACCAAGGGGGGTGGGTCTACCTGAGACACACCTGAGGGAGCAGGACCCTGTGGGGGGAGGGGGTCAACAAGGGGGGGGGACTGGTACCAAGAAAAGAGGCGCTAGGGGGACCGGGTGGGATGCGTGCGGGTGTAGCCTGTAGTAACAGACAGACTCGTCAAAGGTGACGTCCTGGGAGGAGAAGACTCGACGTGAGCGCGGGTGGTAAAACTGCCACGGCGGGGCGTCGGTGGGGAAGCCAAGGAAGACGCAGCGGAGAGTGCGAGAGGAGAGCTTGCTCGCTTTGGCATCGCGAACAAGGGAGAGCGCACCCCAGACCCGAAACACCGACGCATCGCCAACCTTCCCCGTCCACCGGAGTGTGGGCGAGGTCTCTGGCTCAGAGACACGGGGCCAGAGGTTGAGCTGATGCGCAGCGTATCGGACCGCAAACGGCCACAGAAAATGGGGAGCAGCCGCATGGATCATGGAGGTACAAGCAACCTCCATGATCAAGCCAATGCGACGCTCAGCAGTCCCATTTTGCTGAGGAGAGGCTAGAAGCGTGAACGACTGGACGATGCCCTCGTCTCAACAGAACTCCGCAAGGAGGTCAGAAGAGAACTCACCGCCCCTGTCAGAGTGCAGACACAAGACTAGGAAGTCCTGACTGAACCGCTCGCGCAGCTGGCGACGAGTAGCACGGATCCAGGGGATCAAAACACCGCTGATGTCCGCCTTGCGCCGCAAAGGGAAGACAGTGGTGTAACGTGTGTAGTCGTCAACAACCAGCAGGAAGTAGCGCCCTTGGTCCGTTCCACCGATGTGGGCTGGGCCCCAAAGGTCCATGTGGAGAGTCTGCAAAGGAGTAGTGGTCGGAGGAAACAGGGAGGAGTGAGGAGCGGCGCGCTGCCGCTCCTCGACGCAGGGAAGGCACGGTGGGGCAGGCGAGCGCGGAAGGGAGGGCAGGGACCTGGGAAGGCAAGAGAAAAGGAGACGAGAGTGCATACCGCGGAGACGCGGTAGGGAGGGGTGACCGAGGCGGTGGTGCCAGAGGAGAGTCTGGTGGGAGAGTACTCGACACGAGCAAGACGCTGCAAGCTGACCAGACGCAGACACCTGACTCGACGCAGTCACCTGACCTGCCTCAGCCACCTGTGCAGACGCAGTGGTCAGTGTGTACAGACTAGACCCAGGCCGTCGAGTGAACGTAACCAGGTGACGGCCAGTCCGGGAGCACGTACAGATCGCCACACGTTGCCCTCCATGAATAAAGGTATCAACCCAGACATCCTGAATGGCAGTGTTGCTCACCAAGTTCGTCGAGAACGTGGGGAGGTGGAGACCTGACAGAGAACCGGAAGGGACTGCTGGACACGGGAGGACAGTGGAGGCTCGTGCGACTACTGGGCCCCCAGTGGGGTCAGCCAGTGAGACCGGTACCGGTGCAGCAAGTGGTGTGAGTGTGGTGCAGTCACGAAAGAAGCAACGTGACGCGCTTGAGTCAAGTGTGAAAGTGTGCAAGGCCTCAGCTGAGGAAGGACCTGTGGCGGGAGACGCACGAGCACCTAAAGCTGCAGCAGACTCACTAGCACTTAGTGCTGCAGCAGACTCACTAGCACCTAGTGCGGCAACAGACTCACTAGCACCTAGTGCTACAGCAGACTCACTAGCACCTAGTGCTGCAGCAGACTCACTAGCACCTAGTGCGGCAGCAGACTCACTAGCACCTAGTGCAGGAGTCTCGACATAACCAGTGACACATCGCTGAGGAAACAACTCACTAAGCACGTGAGGGGAGAAGGTCTCCTGCTGACTTTGTTGCCGCCTCTGTGCAGTACGTAGAAAACCAAAGCCTCCACCACCTAGACGCGCTCGCTGAAGAACCCATTCGCGAAGCTGCTGAGGGTTGGGGTCGTCCGGGAGAGGCAGTGAGCGCCGCTGTCCACCCATAGCCGCTGCAACTGCCGTGATAGAGGCCATGACAGGCAGTGACGGTCAGTAGTAGGTCCAGCACCTCCGGCACCAGCAGCACCTCCAGCACTCCCAGTCGCACGTCCCGCACCAGCAGCACCTCCAGCACTCGCAATCGTACCTCCAGAACCCCCATCTCCAGCAGCACTCCCAGCAGAACCTCCACTAGCAGCAGCAGTAGCACTAGCAGCAGCAGCAGTAGTGGCAGCAGGGCGGCTCGGTGGGGCTGGTGACAAAGGTAGGGCGGCGCAGCTCGGGTTGGGCAGGACGGCTCGGGCGGCGCGGCTTGGTCGGGCAGAGCATTCCGCGGGCTGCAGGACAGGGCGCGCGGTGGACAGGGCAGCAGGGCGCGTGCTGTGCAGGGCAGCAGGGCGCGACGTATGGGGCAGCAGAGCACGACGCGAGGGGCAGCAGAGCGCGATGCTCTGGCTGCAGTAGGGCGCGACGCGCTGGCTGCAGCAGGGCGCGACGCGCAGGGCAGCAAAGCGCGACGCGCTGGCTGCAGTAGGGCGCGACGCGCTGGCTGCAGCAGGGCGCGACGCGCAAGGCAGCAGGGCGCGACGCACAAGGCAGCAGGGCGCGACGCGCTGGCTGCAGTAGGGCGCGACGCGCAGGGCAGCAGAGCGCGATGCGCTGGCTGCAGTAGGGCGCGACGCGCTGGCTGCAGCAGGGCGCGGCGCGTAGGGCAGCAGGGCGCGATGTGCGGGGGTGGGGGGGAGGGGGGGGGGGGGGGGGGGGGGGGGGGGGGGGGCAGGCAGTGCAAGTAGCTGCAGGGCAGCGCGACACTGTGCTAGCAGGGCCTGACAACGCAAGGTCGCTTCGGGCAGGAACGATCGAAACTATCGGTGGGCCCTAAAAACTTAACAGGTTTCCTGCTCTGATACCATGTCAGAATAACTGTGCAGGAATGAATGAACTATGAATGAGTTGGGTACAAGTACTAACCCTAAAGTGTTATATCCCTTGTATGCTAACCCACTATAGCCTAGAGATAACACAAACATATAGTTTGACATGACAATGGCAAGGCACCAGTTTCAGTTGCCAGTGGATCTGGCTTATCTGCGAGCGACAAGGCTTCAACTCCTTCCATGGGTCTTACCGATGCTGACTGGTTCATTGATGACGACTTGTATGACGAAATGTTGATCGACCTGGTTAAGGAAGCATGATCTGGTTTGCGCTCTGTTGCCATTCTGCTGGTCCCTTTCATGCTGGTGAAGGAGATTTCTTGTGTGATTGATGCTGTCAAAGCACTTATAAAGCACGGGTGGATTTCAGAGTTATCAGCTGACGTTGTGACGACGACAAAGTTTCAGGAGCTCCAGATGGTCTACATTGCCGAGACGTGTTATTGTTGCCTGCAAGTTTCATTTGCAATGGAGTCAGATGCGGCATGGGTTTGGCAGAAAGAAGTGATTTACCATAATCTCAGGGTCAGTTGGTCACTCTTCACTGGCAGCACACGGATGATCCCGCCTTCACCCTAGTCAGCGCGGAGGGTCAGGAACATCAGACCCTAGAAATCTTATCTGGAGCAAGAGGTCCCCTCTAGTTCCTGTCAGTCGGTATATGCTTGCCTTTTGGTGTATACTTTCAATTATCATTAAAAAAAAAAAAAAAAAAAAAAAAAAAAAAAAAAAAAAAAAAAAAAAAAAAAAAACATTAGAGGAATGCACCACAGCATTGTAACAGGGTGTCCCCCACATTTGTTGGTGGGTTGCTTTCCGAAATGGTAAACACGGAAAGCTGTGCCAAACCGATTTCAAACCTTCCAAACCACACTATACGACAATAAGCGGATTAGCGCCTGGGACCAGAGCTCTGCAAAAAGGTTCCTTACGCCATGGGGGTCACTCATTGTGCCATGGGAGGGTGCATTGCGTGACTTGCGGGGCACTTACTGTGAGAGAGTGCATTGCGGCACATGCTTTCACGGGAACCCAGAGCACCAATCATTGGTGTCACAACAATACGCCGTGGAGACACCAATAATCGTCAGAATACATGCCTCGGAACGTACGTCGCCAAAGTAGAAAAGATGGAGGCGACTCGATCCGTCCTTGCCGCCGATGCGATCCGAGCCGCAGTCCGACTTGGCCCAAGCGTTCAAAAGGGACGGGCCCGCCGTGAGTTTCCCGTAACTCTCTCATTCCTTCCTGTCAACCAGCCGAAACGATGGTGGCCGCGAGTTTCCTTTCGACTACATTGGCACCCGTAGTACTAGTGGTAGTGCTGGTGACTCTCAATCTCTCAGTGATAGCCACGTCAGCATTTGACTTCTCAAGCTCCGAGGCCGGAAAAGTGCAGTGGTCGCTGAACTGCGACTGGAAGGGCAACGACATTGGCCGAACCCGCCGGCATGGGCGAGACCTGCGGACCGCAGTGCCTCAGCCGCGCGGATTGCACGCATTTCACGTGGAGTGCCTTCACGGCGGCACGTGCTGGCTCAAGGGGGCGATCAACGCGACTGAACTGGTCCCCGCCACTGGCACGTCGTGCGGTTACCGCGTCGGCGACAGCGCGACCGGCAACCCGTACACGGGAGTCCAGCAGTATCTCAACCGCGGGTACGCGGCGAGTGTGAAATCCGCAATGCTCGCCGCGTCTCGCGAGAACGCGCCGTTTTTCGCGAGCGTGGCGGAGAATCCGACGGCTGTGTGGCTCGACAATATGGCGTCCCTAGATTCCATCCCGGGCCACCTGGAAGAGGCAGCGATTCAAGGGGGTGCGAAGGCGATTCTCGTGCAATTCGTGATCTACGACCTCCCGGGCCGCGACTGCAAGGCGTGGTCGTCCAATGGGGAGATTCCCAAGGGCGGCCTCGACACGTACAAGGCCAAGTACATCGATGTTGCCCGTGGCGCGCCTTAAAAACAAGGCGGCGAACGTGCGTCTGTCGCTCGTGATCGAGCCCGACTCGCTGCCCAACATCGCGACGAACATGGGGATGAATCGGTGCGACGCGACGACGGATAAGGAGTACACGGAGGGCGTCGCGTATGCCATCGCGGAGCTCTCGCAGATCCCCGACACCACGCTCTATCTCGACTCCGGCTTTGGCGGCTGGCTCGGTGAGTGTGTCTGCCGCACGTACGCTCGTGTGATTCAGTCCAATGCTGCAATCTATTCCGTTGCTTGACTTCAACGCTTCCCCCCCACTCCACCTTCCCCCGTCGCGTGAGCAGGGTGGCCGGAGGGAATGAAGCGCGTGGTGGCGGTGTACATGAAGGTCCTCGCGCGCGCGCGGCAGATCCGCGCGAACGCCAAGATCCGCGGCTTCACGTCTAACGTGGCCAACTACAGCCCGCTCTTCGCGAGGAGCTTCCCGCTCTTACCCTCCGTCTGTCCCGCCTTGGAGAAATGCCCACTGGTGAAGAACCCGAGCACGGGCGAGACTAACTACGACTGGAACCCTTGCATCGACGAGAACCGATTTACCGCACGAATGAATGCGTACCTGGGAGCCTTGGGATTGCCGACCAGGTGGATCGTGGATACCAGCCGGTCCGGCCGCGCTGGCATTCGCAACCGCTGGGGGTCGTGGGTGCAACGTGAAGGGCGCGGGGATCGGACAGCGTCCCGAGGCGAATCCCGGAAGTGCTCCGCAAGGTGAGCACTTGGTATCACTACCAGCATTCTGCGTGTTTGGTTCATTTTTCTGTTCTATCCCAGCGATTCTGTTTGACTCACGAGGCTCCGTTCCTTTGGCGCACACCTTGCTTGCCCTGCTTGCAGTTGACGCTCTGGTCTGGATCAAGCCGCCTGGGGAAAGCGATGGCCACGCGTAAGTGTCGTACTACCGCCCGGGGTGCTCCTTCGGGTTATCTATCCTTCCAGATACCTTGGCTATGCTCTGATTTACAATCGTCACTCATCACTCTTCCTCCCTCCCCACGAGGCATCTCTCTTCCCCCTCCTTCCCATTTGGGTTATCTATCTTCTCAGACACCTTCACTATGCTTTATTGACATCGTCACTCGTATCTCTTCCTCCCTCCCCACGCTGCATTTTGATTCAGAAGGAAGATTCTGGGCGTGATTGCCGTGGATCGCGAATGCGACCCTCTGGATCCCCTGGGCCTTGGACGCACTGGCAGACGCGCGCCGCGAGCTGGCCAATGGTTCTAGGTCGCAATTCGCCATGCTCGTTCGCAACGCCAACCCGCCCATGCCTGCTGGAAGAGGTGGACCCGTGCATGTTTGATCCGAAAACGAGCCCCGCGTGCGATCCCTTCTGGGAGGGACGTGGCCGTCAAGTACTCGCCGCAGTACAAGTTCCACCCCGAAGAAACCATCTGGCCGATCAACAATCGACGAGTACCTCACACATGTGACAGAGTCCATCGGTCAGTACACTGAGAACTACAAGACGAAAGAGATTCAGTACCAGGGCGGGCCCGATCACTCCCCGACAACCTCGATACCTTGCTGGGGGATGGGGTGTTGAAGACCGACCGTGGGCCGAACTGTCCTGCTCAGTTCGCTGCGAAGAGATTACCAAGGATACGGACTGGGTGAAGGACTCGGCGCACAACCCATCAAAAGGAGGCACGAAGGTGTACACGATCATCTATAATCCGAAGCCGGACGACGCTGACATCGTTTGTGGAGATTCAGTATTGGAGTGCTCTACCCCTATGTGGAGTATTCCAACTAGTCTGCTGGTCTGGGATTCACTCCACTTGTTTCCTTCCCTCACACACTCCCCCATTCCACTTGTTTCCTTCCCTCCCACACTTCCCCCCCCCCCCCCATTCACCACTTGTTTCCTTCCTCCCACACTTCCCCCCCATCCCCCTCTCCACCCCAACTCTTTCAATAAGCTCCTGCCCTCTTTTGTGACGTTTTATCGCTGATCTATCCCTGCTTCTATATTCACAGAACTACGCCTCCATCCTCCGCGAGTACAACCACATCACGGATCTGGTGGCGATTGCGATCCGCTTCTCAAAGACCGGCCAGCCGCAGCGCATTTGGTACGCGCAGCACGGCGACGGCCCCGTGTGGGCGTGGGACACCTGGGGCTGACTGGAATGACAAAAAGTCAAAGAACTTCGCTACAGTGCTGGGGACCGCATCCATTGTGTATGTCGCGAAGGGGAATCATGAGCATTACCCGAGCGCTGGTGAGTAGTAGCTTGAGTAACACCTGGTATCTTTCCAGCGCTTCTTTTACAGCAGAGGCTGAACCTCGTTGCTGCTCTAACTTCTCATTTCAGGTGATTTCAATTGCCACTTACGGTGGTTTGCGACAACACTGCCAACGAAGGAGTTGCATGGGGCGCCCTTTGACAACCCAAACTCTGCCTTTGAGTATGTTCACGTGAAAAGCGTGATGTCCGATTCCATGCCAAATGCGGACCGCGGGAAGCTATTCACAGGGAGAAACAAGTGGATGGCTTACAACGGAAAAAATTGGTGGATACAGTAAGTGGGTTTGGCTTGCCCTTCGCACCATGGTGGGTAATCGTAACCTTCAAATGACGGATGCTGACCAAGTTTGCATTTGTTTGCAGTATGGAGTCATCAGATAAGGGTTTCGACGCAGGTGGAGCTCATGACTGGAGTGAGTGCGATATCTTTCCAGAAGAACCAGGGAAAGGTGACCTTGAGACTCGCTACTGGCCATTCTGATTTTTTTTCATCTGTCGCATGTCAAGCAAATCAGGTTCTAATAATGCCTCTTCTTGCACCTGCAGTTCACAGAAGAGCTAAAGGCGGCGTAAGCACAGGGGGCGTATATCATGAGGGGTGCTTGCTCTCAAACAAGGCAGCTGGAAATACGGCTATACCGGCAGCTTGTGTCACGTGTGGGTCCTCCCTTAGCAACTCTTCCGGTCCAGCCCCTCGGAGCTTCACACCAGCCAGAAGGACCCTGAGGGTGCTTGCCAATACGGTTATAGCTCCTGTGGGAGCTTGAAACCAGCCAGGACCCTGAGTTAGCTAGGTACGGTAATAAATAATTGTCCTTGCTTACTCCACCTATGATGTGTTGGTTTGGGTAATAAACCGCGTCCATGATTTCTCCAGCCACTTCCTTTACCATACTTCAATGGAGTGATCTGATGGTACCGTATGGATATTACCAGGAAATAGCTCAACTTAATGGCCAGGCCATTACGCGTACACAACATTTCCACACATAGCACTGCAACTGCACCACAAATCCTGCTCACCCAAGGTATATGCTTTAGCACACCCAATATTTGACCTACTCTCCGCCTCGTGCCGTGAAACCAGCGGGCTGCCCGAGAGATATTTCAGGACAGCTGCCCGAAGAACCCCTGTCCCAAGCCCATGCACAATGAAGAGCACAGCACCAGTCGGGCTGGACTGCACTGCTAGGTCCACCGCTGCTAATGCATCCTCTGCACTCCGCCCCCTCACATCCACTGTGTTCCGTGCTGTCTTGTACTGCTGCCTCTCTCACTGCTTGCAACGGCATGGAGAGGCGGGGGACTGGGAGGGGGAACTGACTGCCACGAGCCGTTTTGCCAATAAGAAGAGCGGATCGAGAATACTTTGGAGGTTTGAGGAGGAACTAGAGGGGTGCAAAGAAGAAAGGAGCACGAAGAGGAAGAGCATAGACAGCGAGGTGATGGAACTGAGCGGGAGTTTCTTCACTGCATGCACCCTAGTAGCGATGATCAACCATTCAATACAAGAACGGTCTGTCGTAGCCACCTGTTGCCCTGCACCACATGCCAATGCGTGCAATGCACACACGCACGATGCATGCATGTTAATACTCGCACACATACATCCATGCACACATACATCCATGCACACATACATCCATGCACACAGACACGAATATGTGCAAGTGCTCATGTGCGCAAGCGCAAAACACACAGAGAGGCATGTAACATCGTACCCTCAATACCACCATTCCCTCAATACCACCATTCCCTCAGCAACACCATACCTACATCTCCTCTCCCTCATTTCTCCGTATCAACACCCCTATTGTCCGCATCCCACGATGCCCCCACCCTTCTCCCCACCCAGCAGGAAGGAGCGGTGCAGAGGGTGGGCAGCAGTGGGAGGGAGGCGGCGTGGCATTGAGATAGAAGGAGGGTGGGAGCAGGCGCAGGGGTACATGGAGAGCATGGGACAGTGGAGGAGGGGTGATAGGGACGGAGAAGATGAAGGCAGGGGAGGTGTGATGGGATTGAGTGAGAGCGATGCAATAAAGGGTTGTGCTGGTGTTGGTGGCAGCGAGTGGCAATAAAGCGACGGGGAAATATGTCAGACGGGAGAAGGAGCGGGGTGAGTAAGGAGGCGAGGGAAGGGGGGAACACAGGGGAAGATCAAGCGAGGGAGGGAAGCTGCACGGGTGATGGAGTCGTTTCTTCTGAGGCCAGTGCCTTACGAGGTGAGGACTCACCACACTCATGGCTGTGTTGTCTTCCATTACAGCCAGCACTCTGCGACACAATGAGAAACCACGTCAGCACCACCGTACCCTCTGCACTACCATACCACACAGCACGCACCATACCATCAGCACCACCATGATAACCCTCAGCACATCATGTCCGACCTGTCAACATGAACTCCCTCTCACGCAAATCACATCTTTCCTCAATCGCCCAATGGCTGCCCTCTACCACCGGCCCTGTGGTTATTCAGATCGCCATGGGAGTAACGTCAGGCTCAGCTCACACTACGCACAAGGCGTCTCTGCTGCTCCCACTTTGTGCCAATGGATAATTCTCTGCTGCTCTCTTTCTTGTCTCACTTCCTAACCAGTTCCCCATCCCAGTCTCTAGCCACTCCAGTCCCATCAATCCCACGCATTGCCCAACTGCTTCCTCCTCTTCCCAACCCACCTTCCAGCAAGGAGGCGGAATAGAGGGGTTGGACAGGCAGTGGTGAAACCAGCGTGCCAGCTGTCACAAAGGGAGAGGGTCAGCTGGCCGTGCTGACCCCTCACCTCTCCTCTCCCTCACTCCTCCTTATTCAACACCCTTACTATCCGCATCCCACCACGCCCTCCCGCTTCTCCCCACCCAGCAGGAAGGAGCGGTAGCAGTAGCGGGAGGAGGCGGTGGGCCACTGAGATCGCAGGAGGGTGGGAGCAGGCGCAGGGGTATATGGAAAGAGCGGACGGTAGAGGAAGGGAGTTGAGAGCGAGGGAACAGGGGGGTCAGGAGGAGACGTGATTGGGATTGCGTCAGAACAATGCAAGGTGGTACAGGGAGTGGCAATGAAGCATGAGGGGGAGACGTCAGAAGGAGAAGGAGCGGGTGAGCAAGGGGCGAGGGAAGGAGGGGACGCAAGGGATAGAGCAGGGCGAGGGAGGAAGCTGGTTTGACGGCAGCACTCAAGTCACACGTCCACTGGGACCCACCCCACCCCACTCCACTCTCCATGAGATGCACAAAGCGTCTCCCCCGCGTCCCCTTCCACGTGCCACCATTCTCCACATTCCCATTCCTTCCCATTGGCGCGTTATTGAACCCCATTCCTTCTCATCCGCCCCCCTCTGATCCTTCACCTTCAGTCTCCCTTCATCACTCTCCCCCTCATCCTCCGCTGCTGGACCTGGGCAATGGGTGCAGACCAAACTCGCTCCTCCTCCGAACGCTGGACAAACAACGCCTTCCAGTCCGCAAGAAATGCCATGTCAGCACTTGTCACGTCAGCGAGTGCCAGCTCAGCCTCAGCGGTGCGACTATCGAGAGGGGGGTGGGGCGGCGTTCCCACGTTGGGGGAGACATGTCTTGCTTGGCTCGGAGCTACCTTGTCTGGGCGGGGAGCGGATGACGGCGAGTGGGAGAAAAGGGGTGGAGGTTTGGGTTGCAGGAAGAGAGGTGGGATGAGAGATGGGAGAAGAGAGGCCATTTAGGCTCCTGGCTGGGGTGGGGAGACATGGGGAGACATTTCTGGCTTGGGTGGGAAGTGGGCTGGCTGAAAGGGGGAAACGAGGAAGGTGAAGAGGAGAGACGGAGGAGGAGGGAAGAGAGGATATGAAATGGCAGCCATGGGGTTGACAAAAGGAATGGACAATAAAGGAAAGCTGGAGGCAAGAGAAATATAAAACATACTCATCATGGCTGGAAAGTGGGCCTGTCTTAGGGGAGAGGGGGAAAGGGGCGGGTTGGGGAGGGATGGGGAGGGTGGTGGGGAAAGAGAGGAGTGAAAGCAGCAGAACCGGGGATATGCGAAGAGGAAACGCCAGCATTGTGGCCAATGAGGAGGGGACCACGTGTAGCCAGGGCTAGGAGCGGAGCGCATGGAGGTTAAGATGGCGGCTGGGGAGGAGTTGGAAAGGTGTGGAGGAAAGAGTAGTGGATAGGAGAGCGGGGCACAGGCATGGCATGGTGTATGGGGGAGAAATGTGAAAGGCATGGTGGATGGGGAACGGCATGGCATGGCAGCATTTGAGGTGAGAATGCAGCAGGGTGGTTGGGGCAGTGTGTGGTGGCGTTGGTGATGCTGGCGATGATGCCCATCGTGCACAGGCAGCTAGGGCGAATTGCGGCAGCACTGTGAGGAAGAAACCCTGCATGTGCGTGGGCTTGCACAGCAGCTGACTTGACTCACACCTGCCTTGCTGACGCATGGCTGCTGCAAAACCCTACCCTGAGAGCAAGCAGCCCTGCAGCGCGCCCCTTGAGCCTGGCTGCTGCAATCCACCTTGAGGGGAAGATTTCCTGCTGTGGCGCTACGTTGAGAAAGGAAGCAGGCCGTGCAGTGATGGGAGCAACTGACTACGTGATGGGCATCAAGGGTCACGTGCCTTTGTGCGTGTGGCACACGGAGTGCTGCTCCCACTCATGCTGCTCCCCGCTCGTGCTGCTTCCCGCTCGTGCTGCTTCCCGCTCGTGCTGCTCCCAATCGCGCCGCTCCCACTCGTGCTGATCCCGCTCGTGCTGCTCCCGCTCGTGCTGCTCCCGCTCGTGCTGCTACCACTCATGCTGCTCCCACTCTCGCTGCTCCTCCCACGTCGCCCGCCGCTGCTCCTCGCTCAACCCCGACCCACCCGCACGTGCACCTGGCACAGCTGATGGCGCGCGTGGGGATGGGTGGAGCGGGGAGCAGGGGTGAAAACAGGCGGAGAGGCACAGAGTGACGCAGCGAAGGGAGGTACAGCTGGCGCAGCCTATGGCGCTGGCAGCGGGGATGGGGGGAGGTACAGCTGGCGCAGCCTATGGCGCTGGCGCAGCCTGCCTGCTCGCGCCAACCCTCCACATTGCCTGTGCTGCCATGACTCCCGCTACCGCCACCGTTCGTAGTACCGCTGCTGGTTTTGCTGGTAGCGCTGGTAGGTATTTTGTTCCCCGCGCCGTGGCACTCCCCGCCTTGTCATGCGAATGCCATGGCGCGCCGGACAGCCCGCCTCCGGAGTTGCGACTCCGCCTGCACGATCCCGACACTTACGACCTGCAGCCATCCCGCGGAGCACGGCGCGCAACGAATCGGGGTTCGAGCCTACGCGTTACTGTCGGTCGAGGAGACAAAAAGATTGTTCCATAATCGTACCAGGAGGGTTACGATGGCGATAAGCAGCTGGTTGGGAGTTGACGAGTAAGTGGTTCATGTGAGGCACTCCTCGAACAGGATCATTAGCGCATGGGCCTGAGCATGGGGAAAACATTGTACTTATATTAGATCAAAGAGCAGACACTAAGAGCACGGAGTGGTGTTTTGCGCATGCCCTCAACCGGGGGTTCTTAATGCTAAGTTGAATTTTAAAATAGATGCTCCTAGGTTACATTGTTTTGAGATTCACAGCGGACATGTTATGAGTTGTAATGGAGAGTGGCGCAGATTAAACGAATAACGAGAATGTGATTCAACACAGACTGATCATACAGATGAAGGCACACGCTTAAGTGTAGTGGCTAGCCTAGCTAGGGAGGGAACTTCGGGTGAGTGAGGTGGTTGGGTGCAGGTTTGGCGAAGGAAAACGCCGAAGGCGACGTGAGGAGGCTCGGCATCGTTGATGTCGGCCAAATGTGCAGAGTCGCGAAAATCGGGGCTGTACGCGAAGCATCTTAGATAGGCTAGGAGGCAAGTGTCGAAGAGTAAATGTTTGAGTAAGGAGGGACAAGGAGATGCAAATGTCGACCTAAAGTGTTGTAACCCTTTAGAGGGCAACTCACAGTAGCCTATCTAACAATATATAGAATATATAACATTTGACACACCCCCATAGGCTTAAGTGAGGGGCATCAAAACAACCAACGGAAACAAGGGGTCACAAGACCAGTCAAGAACAAGCATAAAAAAACAAAGCTCAGGGTGGCGCTCAGAGTCACCACACACTCCGAGCACAAGCAAGTGGCCACAAGGCCAGTTCAAGAGTTTACTAGTATATATAGAAGCACAACAAGTAGAGCAAACAGCAAGTCTACAGCAACCGAGGGCCTACCTCAACAAGCCCCAACTGCACACAGAACCTGTGGTGGTCACCAGGCGCCAAGGCCTTGGTGAAGACGTCGGCAGTGTTGGCCTGTGAGGCCACAAAGTCCAAACGTGCCTGACCGCGTCGCTGCAACTCTCGCAGGAGGAAGTACCTCACGTCAATATGCTTCACTCTGCTCTCCAGTCGAGGCTCTCGACACAGGAGGATCATGGCCTTGTTGTCAGCGTACAAGGTCGGTGCAGAGCGAGGCCGCTCACCAAGGTCGGCGAGCAAGAAGGTCAACCAGCGAAGCTCCTGTGCCGCCATGGCACCAGCGTAGATCTCTGCCTCTGCACTGGAAGTAGCCACAGACGACGACCGTGTAGACCTCCACGACACAGCACCAGCTCCCAGACTGAAGCAGTAACCCTGAGTCGAACGCTGAGTCTCCACGTCGTCAGCGTAGGAAGAGTCGCAGTGACCAGTCAACGCCACTGGCTGAGTCCCTCCAAGCACAAGCCCCATGCCTGATGTAGTCGCCAGGTACTTCGCCACCCTCACAGCAGCTGTCCAGTGGACAGGGCGGTGTCTCCCAGTCGCAACAAAGCGAGAAAGGATGCTGAGTGGAAAGGCGAGGTCCGGTCGAGTACAAGTCATCAGGTACATGAGGCAGCCCACCAGCTCTGCGTAGGGTCCACTGGACTCAAAGGGCTCGTCAGGAAAGGGGCCCGTGAGTCTGTGGTCAACAGCAAGAGGAGTGGGCTGTGTGGTGGAGAACTGGAAGTCGAACCGCCGAAGGATCTGCTGCACCATGTGTGACTGCGTCAGTGTGATGGTGCGAGCGGCTCTGTCCCGGGTGATCTGCAGGCCAAGGTAGCGCTGCAGCTCACCCAGGTCAGTGCACTTGTGTCTCTTCTGCAGTTCGGACTTCACCTGAGCCAGGGCTGCCCTGTCTGCTGTAGCAAACACCAAGTCGTCGACATAGACAAGGATAAAGAAAGGAGTAGAACCCGCTCGAGAACAAAACAGCGACGGGTCGGCGGAGGACGGGGCTGAACCCAAGGTCACGAAGCGTGGAGTCGAGAGTGTCCGTGCCACTCACGGGGCGACTGGCGGAGACCGTAGACTGGTCGCCTCAGGCTCCACTGGGTCCCAGGTGGGAAGGTGTCAGTGAAGCCAGGAGGACGGCGCAGCCAGATCTCCTCGTGTAGTCGGCCCTGGAGGAAACGCAGTGGAGAAGTCGAGGGAGTGCAGCTCGTAGTCTCGCTGGCGCTGCTATGTGGAGTAACACCCGAAGAGTAGTTCATCTTCGGGGTCGGGGCGAAGGTCTGGAAGAAGTCAACTCCCTCACGCTGACTGAAGCCCCTAGCCACGTAGCGCGCCTTGAACACCGGCGGTGGCTCCAGGCGGGCCGCTTCACCTTGAAGAGCCACATGCCATCGACTACGTTCGCCCTGGGAGGGGGAACTGCGTCGACGTAGGTGCCTGTGGATCTCCAAGACGCCAACTCTGAGTCCATAGCCGCTTTCCACTGAGCGTGCCCACGCCTCTGACACTGACCTCGCACGGTAAGTGCGAGGAGGTCGGTATGTCCAAGGGCGTCGGTGGTCTCCCTCAGGGGACGCAGCAGCATGGCACACACAGAGGGAGAAGCGGGCTGCCCAGTACCTTCCAGCTCAGACTCTCTGTCCTCTAGGACGGTCACAGCAAGGGCAAACCCACCCCCGACGGACAGAGGACGGTAGGGAGGAGCTTGCACCCCACGGGTGCGTAGTCAAGGTGGCTGGCGGCAGCAAACTCAGCGACAGCGGCAGTAAGAAGCCGAAGGCAGGGACGACGGAGGAAAACGAGACGTCCGGTGACAAGAGTGGCGAGGACACGTGCGGCAACAGGACGAACAACGCGGTAGTAGTCAGAGATAGGAGTGGGGAGGGCTGGTAGGGAGGACGGAGGAGGAGACGGGAGAAACGGACACAGGAGAAGGAGAACGACGACGAGACGAACAAAGGAGGGGCAGTGTGGAGGTCAGTAACAGGGGAACGAGTGACGAGCACGCGGAGGACAACGAGTGATCAGGTCGCGACGGACAGAGGGAGGAGGAGAAGACCAGACCGCCGGACGGTCGTCAGGAGGAGGCAACGGAGGAACAAACACAGGAGGAGAGACTGGGAGCGGACAGGAGGAGAGGAGGAAAGGCCAAGGGCCCGCAGGCCACTCACAGGTGGGAACAACCGCCGCTCCAGAGGAAGCTGCGGTGGCGGTTGCAGCCGCTGCTGCTGCGGCTGCGGCTGCTGCTGCTGCGGCTGCGGCGGCGGCTGCGGCTGCTGCTGCTGCTGCTGCTGCTGCTGCTGCTGCCGCTGCTGCTCCAGAAGGTCCAGCACCCGCAGCTCCTGCCGCTCCCTCTCCAACCGCTCCTGCTCCTCACGCTCACGCCGACGGGCAGCCTGGAGACGCGTGTCGTGGCGGTGGGGAGGCGGAGTGGACTCCGCAGAACCAGGGTCTCCAGCGTCAGTCCCCTCAGACTCAGCACCCCCAGAACCAGCACCGCCAGTGCCAGGACCTCCAACTCCAGCACCCCCAGAACTAGCACCGCCAGTGCCAGCACCCCCAACTCCAGCACCCCCAGAACCAGCACCTCCAGTGCCGGCACCTCCTGCTCCAGCACCCCCAGAGCTAGCGCCACCTGCGCCAGCACCTCCAGCTCCAGCACCCCCAGAGCTAGCGTCACGTGCGCCAGCACCTCCAGCTCCAGTACCCCGCGACCGAGCACCCCCAGACCGAGCACCGCCAGCGGCTGCACCTCCAGCGCCAGCACCAACCGAGTCCAAAGTAACCTGTCGCGGAAGTGCCGAAGGCTGCTGAGGGGACTGTGAGGAGGACTGCGGGGAGGGAGACGCTACCTGACGCGCGACCGAGGGTAGAGGGGTAGCGTGGGACACACCAGACGGGGCAGGACCTGGGGGGGCGGGGGTACCGGAGGAGCGGGAGCAGGAGGAGGAGAGGGTGCGAGGAAGAGAGGGGGAGGGGGTACCGGGAGACCTCGACAGGGGTACGGGTGTAGTAGGACACGGGACTCGTCCAACCGGACGTCACGGGAGTCTAGGAACTGGTGGAGGGAGGGTGGTAAAAAGGACCAGTCAGCAGTAGTCCACTGGGAAAACCAAGAAGACACATTGGACGGCGCGTGCCGAGAGCTTGTCCGCGAAGGTGTCGCGAACAAGTGCAAGGCAGCCCCAGACTCGAAAGGCCGACCCAACACCAGGGGATCCAGTCCAAAGACTGGTCGGTGAAGCCTCGGGCCGCGAGACACGCGGCTGGAGGTTCAGCTGGTGTGCGGCGTAGCGAACCGCGTGGGGCCACTAGAAAAATGGGGCGCACGGGCATGAATCATGGACGTGCGGGCGATGTCCATGACCAAGCCTATGCGGCGCTCAGCAACCCCATTCTGCTGTGGGGACTCTGGCAGCGTCCAGGACTGGGTGATGCCCTGTTCGCCGCAGAATCCGCCGAGAATGCCGGAGCGAACTCGCCCCCACGGTCGGAGTGAAGACAACTGACTCGACGACCACGAGTGCCCTCAGTGGCTAGAAGCCACCTGATCAGCGTAGCAGTCACCTCGGACTTCTTCGCAAGAGGAACAACTGTGGTGTACCTGGAGAAGTCGTCGACGACCACCAGAAAGTAACGCTCCCTCCCGAGACCCCTGCGTCGGGGCAGGGCCCCAG